CCCCCCCCCCGAAATCGAGATCCTGGCACGACCCCCTCTAACAGAGCAAATTAATTCAATTAAAATAAATCCTGCAAAACAAATCAAAAAAAATTCTGCAAAATAATGCTAAGGACGCTTCATCTTGTCATCTATGCACGTCTTCCATCGCTGCATACTTTTGTGTACATACTGAAATATCGACTCGAGGAAAGAGGCATTAACTTTGTGTGACCTCAAGGCGAGGTTCGTTCAGAAACGCACAGAAATCCTGAAGACACGGGGTTGCGATTCAATCTTGATTCTTGCTTGAGTATATCAAAACAGCCGAGTGTATCAAAGGCCGATTCAACGGCAGCTGCGGCGCGATTGTCACTGGGTCAGATTTGCCGAAATTTCAAAAAAAAACGTCCGAATCTACACCCTCGATGAAAAGGTTGCATTCCTCCATTTCACAACCTTTTGAAGCAGCTTGAGGTAGAGTTAGATAGAGCTGGATTTCGCGTTTCCAACAAGCATCGAAATTGCTCTGGAAGCCTTCCTTGCAGAAAGATAGGGTCTCTCAAATTTCGTCGAGTAAATGTCGAGGAGGCCGAAATTTTCACGCGAGTTTTTGCCACTTCAAGAGCAATATATCTCTTATATTGTAAGATCCTGAAAAAGGGAAGATAGTTTTGGAAAGCGGAAGGTTTGCGCTTCCTGATGGTCTGTTTAGTTTTCTTCTACAGCTTTTTGGTTGAAGAGATAATTGCGTCGAGGATCTATCGAGGTCGGATCCGGCCACCTGGAAATCCGCTCCCTCATTCACCATTGCAAGTGTGACTCGTTGGCAACACTCGGAATGTGTCTAGAACAATATCTTTGAACGCAAACAATAAGAATAGGAGCAATCGTCATCATCCGATTTGGTATTGGTATAAGCCATGCATCCCTCCTCCACTCACAGTTGCAGAATCGATTGAAAGGTGTTATATGATGGGGACCTTCGAACGAAACTGTATTGTAGTAGACATAGTGTGTTGTGCTATTCCTGTAACCTAAAAAACAACTTCATTTGCCCAGCGCTTTTTCTTCACGGTTGTCGTTTTTCCGACAGGGTCCCTAACAACAGCGTCATTCTCAGCGAGGTATTAAGGGAGAAGGAGCGAGTGATAGGCGGAGGAGGTGCCTTTGCAGCGCGTGCGCACATGTGGCAGTCTTCTTTGCGGGGATGCACTTTCATTCTTTGTACTGCCTTCAAATACGCCCTTCTCATGAAGGTGGAGGAATGGAGCGACTGAACCTGCAAAGAAAATTTAATATCATGTTTTTTTTCGGATGTTTTCATTTTCTGCTGCGCTATACCCTATTACCTATCTGCACCATGATACCACTTCTGTTACTGACCCCAAAGAGTACGACCCCCCATGGACCAGCCCAACAGGTACGACCCCCCTGTCGAGGATTTCCTCGACCGATATTCACCCTGGAGGAAAATTTTTTTTCCTCGACCGATATTCACCCTGCGTGTACATCGCACATCACGCACTACGACTCGTCCGCTGCCTCTGGCTTCTTGCCGCGCGACAGGCCTCCTGTCGGGTACCCTGGCAAATTTATACAAATCGGTGACGAAGATGTTGGTTATGTTGGAACAGTTGCTTCCAAAGAGAGAATGATCATAATGAAGAAAAGTGACAAAATTCGGACGGGAATTATGAGACAACCCATAGAATCCTATCAACCTCACTACGGAGTCGATCCCACATGACTTCCATCCTGTTCCCATACAATTGCCAACTCAGATAATGAGCAGCAACTTACTTCACAGCTCCACGTCGTGTGAAGCATCAGCATGGCCGATAACTAATAACTTCAAAATCAGGCTCCTAAGACACGTACAAGGGCATGCATCCCATCCTAAACGCCATGACCACCTAGCATCCTTATTTTACGGGTCGAAATCCGTGCCAATTAATAAATTGAAAATTCCGTATCCGTTGCAGTGTCTTCCGCCATACGTCTTACTATCATGGAGGATGTCGCCACTTGGCTTACACATGCGTTGCAGCAACGTAAGTCGATTAGTTAGCACGAATTTTCAGTACCGTTCCTGGTCGATACGTGTAGGATTCTTTTCACCAATCGCTAGCATTAGATTAAAGAACGAATTCACGATTAAAGAAGGAGTAATTCACCCAGTTGAGAGACCGGCGGACCTCCTGAAGGAAGGTGCCGACTGACGCGCAATTGGCACCGAAAGATTTGACCTCGGCGACCTAACAGAGCTCATTCATGGCGCGGTCGCCGGGGTCCGCAGTTTTTCATGGTTTTTCCTTCTTTCGTGTACCAATCACCATTCCTAAATTGATTTGAAATGGGTTGCTTTTCCATCGTGAATTCTGCCCTCAAGGAAAGTTCTATCCGTAGCGGTGGAATGAGCCCAGCGCCAAATGCGCAAACCTCTTCAAACGGAACTCGTGATAAAAGTCACCACAATCTATTTGTTTCTGCCAACATGGAATGAGTTCAACCAATCCGTTTACTTACAATTTTGAAGTGCTGGGCAATGAACTCGGCAAGGTCAGCATCACGATGGCATTCGAGGTATTTCTCTTCAAAAAAAAGCTCACACGGTTGGAAAAGAATCAATGGATAGCCGAGTAACCTAATGAGCAACTGTTCGCGGCAAGTTTGATAGCCCAGCTAGTTCAACTTTTGCAGGGTTGATTATGCGGTGTGTGGCCCAAGCACATTGCTGAAAGGAGTCGGTCCCTCCATGGCGACCCCCTTGGGACGCATATGCTGAAGTTTTCGGTATACTATTTTGCTGCGAATACAATCACATCGTTTCACTGTAATAGTTCTGGCTGAGCTTGGAGCGCAGCGCATGCCGTAGACCTCATAGCGGTATACCCTAACCTTCTTTTCGTGCAGTCTCAGTTTCGGGAAGCCCTGTTTAACCCTATTAGCGATCGAGCAAGTCAGCAGGTGATCTTGATTTTTGCGAAAATCCAATCTACACAGCACATTATGATCCAATGGAAACAAAGGACTTTTCATTGGCTAGACGCAGAAGTAGAGCAGAACCACAACTTTTGCGGCGCACCACCTTATTGAACTTTTCGGATTTTTTTTACCTTTCCCGTGCACAACGAAATCGTGAAGTATAGTGAGGTATCTAGCCACTTTGAGAAGGGGTCATGATTTTTTCAACAGGACCTAGCTTCTGCATAGGAGGCAAAATTGTTCAGGAGCGCTGTTGAGGCAGGGTCAACCGTCCGTTCGAACAGTTCGAACGGGGGGGGGTCGCATTTGTGTGTCTGGAGGGGAGGGGGGTCGCATTGGTCGCATTGCGCGCCTTGATGATTAGTGGGGCGCAGGGCATAGGTGTGTGCGAAAAAAGTTGCCGTTTCACTGGTTGTATACCCCCCCCCCTCCCCTTCGACGGCTGTTTTTGGGGAAAAAGTGGGTGGAGTTTCGGAGTTTTAGGTAGGTTTTGGGCTGTGTCAACTGGTCTCAGAATCAAATAAAATACTATAAAAGAGGGAGAGGTCGCGGTGGAGGAAGGCTGGTTGTATTGGGGGGGGGGTCGCAACTGTGTGTTGGGAGGGGTCGCAACTGGTCCCTCTCGAGAGGGGGGGTCGCAAAAATCCCGAAAATGTTCGAACGTGACGGTTGACCCTGCTTGAGCGGACTCGTCCGCGATTTTACATCCGTTAGAACGATTAGTTTCCGTGGTGAAACTCCAGTTCGGGGGGGCCACTCCAGTGCTATCTTATCCGTAGTACTAACGAGTGGTACTTTGGGCTATCCAACACCATGGATAAGATATCAAGTAAACGATTAATTTCGAGCGTACTTTCGATAAGGACCGGTAAATGTTGTCCATCACACATTCTGCCCACCTCCTATACAATTTTCTGCACCAGGTCATCCACCCTGGAGCTCCTCCACCCTTGGCCCTAGAAAGAGGTATCCATTCTCCGGTCCAGGACCGTTCCCTTGGACCATGGCAGGCGGAAAGGTTAAAGCATCTCACGGCTTTTTTCCCATTACACCGTTACTTATCAAAAGTATACTCTGAATGAGTTGGTTACGTATCATGAGCGCTGTCATCCTTATCTCGAGTATTGGAGAAACAATGGAGTGGCCCCCCCCGAACTGGAGTTTCACTGGCTTTCCTATCCCTTGATTCCAGCGTGCTGGGCCATCCTATGCCGGTTGTGTTAGGGGCAGACCCTGCACTAAACATTGCATCCGACGGGATGAGCCGTAGCCTTTACTCTGCAAAGTTTCAAACAGAACACCCCAGAATGCCCTGCGGGCCACAGCAGAGTTGTGTTCGAAGCAATTGGGAGCCATACTCACAACAACAGGGGAGCATATTCAATGAATGTCATTCCTTTCAATGTGTAAGTGTATCGCTAAAATTTCTGTGAAACCTCAACCTCATACAAGTAAAGAAAAATGGTGCAATATTTATGGGACACCCTGTACTCATGGCGTCGACACCATGTGGGAATATAAAATAAAAGGATAAAGCATTTGCCGTTGATCAATCCCTTTTTGGGATGCGGCACGCATTCTACTTCCATTTGTACATTCGTAGTGGCGTTTGAATGCGATGTGGCCTATACAATGACTTGCGGGGGCCAGCCGATGTACAAGTCAGTGTTTTTATCCTCCCAGACAAGTCTGGTACCAATTAACCGACCCCGGGATGGAAGGCTTGGTTGGCCCGGGCGACTTATAACACAAAGTTTTCTAGTTATACACAAAATGGAAACTGTCTGTTAAAAATGAGTCGTAATAAGGAGTATTATTGAAATTCATCAGTGTGAATATGTTCAATTCACGAACAATTCGGCCGCTCATGATCCCGCAATCCATGACCCCGAGGAGCCGGTGATCCGCTAGCTTCGCAAAGGTCTGACCCCTGCCTTAAACTATGAGTTTAGAAATAGTTGAGAAAGCAAGAAGGAATTGAGGGAACTATCTCATAAGGAAGGCAGAATGGGTGGCAATATCACGAGTAAACGATGATACAAGAATGGAAAGGAGAAGAAAATTTTCAGAAGTTAAAAGAGGACAATTTCAGAGGATGTAACAGTTCCATTCTCCATTATGGATATGTCAATGCGCCCAACGATAAACAGATCAAGGATGGTGATATGTGCTTGTTTGACATGGGGCCCGAGTACAATTGCTACGGTAGGTTATGATCTGACCATAACCCCCCTACTTTTGTGCTGTAGCTGTTGCTTTACCAAACAATAATTTTCTTTTGTAGCGTCCGATGTAACTACATCATTTCCTGCAAACGGAAAGTTTACCGATAAGCAGAAGATAGTTTACAATGCGGTACTCGAAGCAAACCAGGCAGTGTTCAAAGCCGCTAAGCCAGGTAAATTTTTAGTACTTCTTCATAGGTATTAGAAATCACGAAAAACTTATAAAGGAGTTCGATGGACGGAGATGCATATTCTATCCGAGAAAGTGATACTCACTCACCTTCAAAAAGCTGGGCTAGTCACAGGTTTGATTAGAAATTTAACATTGACCATACAATCCGTGTTTGTGAAGAATGAACCTCACCACTTATTTAATTTTGGGCGACGTTGATGAGATGGTCAACGCAAGGCTTGGAGCCGTGTTCATGCCTCACGGGATTGGTCATTTGATTGGTCTCGATGTTCATGAATGCGGCGGATACCTCGGGGTACCCTATAATTTACAGTGTAACACATTTCACCAAATCAGCATCGTAACATTTTTTGTTAGGATGCATTGCCACGTTCGGAGCTCCCTGGGCTCAGCTCTCTGCGTACCACTAGAACGCTCAAAGAAAGAATGGTAAGGAATGAAAGGACTGGCTGATTCGAATCTGCGACTAGCTTGATTTGAATTTGAAGTGATTTTCCAGGTGATTACAATTGAACCCGGTTGCTATTTTATTGATACACTGCTCGACGCCGCCTTCAAGGATCCGAAGCTAGCGAAATTCATGGTGAAGGCAGAAATCGACAAATACCGCGGACAAGGAGGGGTATGTGTCATATGCGCTTGCCCATAACAATAAATTCTTCATCGTATAACCTGGGGTGTGGGTACTTAGGACAGAACGCGACTTTTTCGCTCTTCGCAACGCGACATCGCGCGGCAGGCTGGCGCACCCGCAGCGAAAACAACTACGGTATGGGAGAACGCGCGATTGGAGCACGATATTTGTGTCGGCTTTGATTGCGACAAGGAGTTTGAAGCTTAATAGCCATGGATTTGATAATGAACGAGGAAATGGTAACCAGAAGTGGACCGCTAACTAGCAGTGAAGAGGGAGGTAGGTTATTTTTGCAGAGATGGATGGTAGAGCTTCTGGAGAACCTGGAAGAAATGGTTGATGGACGTTTGATGAGAGTTAAGATGTTATACCCTTATGCAGAAGTCTATACAACAATATGAACCCACAAAATGCAAGCACAAGCGAACCATTCGTTCACCGATAATTCGTAAAACACCATTTTAGTGGCATCGCCCGGAATCGTGTAAGTCACAAAACGTTTTCAATAATGAGACAGAATTAGTGATTCACCGCATTTATCAATACAATGGGTGTGAGCGCGGGCAAGTAAGGAATCAGAAACTTACAAATTCACGCATGCAAAAAAAGCTGCTCCAATCGCGCGTTCTTCCATACCGTAGTTGTTTTCGCTGCGCGCCACCTGCCGCGCGATGTCGCGTTTGCGATGAGCGAAAAGTCGCGTTCTGTCCTAAGTACCCGCACACCGTATACCTGCTCAGGTTCGTATCGAAGACGACGTGGTCATTTGGGAGAAAGGCAACGAAAATATGACCGACGTACCAAGAACAATTGAGGAGATCGAGCGTTTCATGGCGTCTGAAGTATTGAACGACGCGACGGTTCAGAAGAGCATCAGCAACTACCTTAACAAGCACTGACTCGAAGTGCCCATTCCAGCACGGCAATACGACACTGTGATACTAGTTACTATTTATGGGATTATCCTATTTACTTGCACGACGTTCAACACAATCAGTTGACTCGTTACATTGTTAGTGACACTGGGGTTAAGAATGGTTATTTTCACACAAAACATCGAAAAAGTTATAAACTATATTTCAGTTGAATGCTTCGCTATGGTCTTTTGTTGCAGTCGAACATGTCATCGACTGTTCCCATACCGAGCGTGAAAACTAATCGATTATGGTTGGACGCGGAAAATTATGGACCTCCCACGTACCTCAACGTCATTTCGCCGTCCGTTTCATTAATAATCGGCGCAAACCCCAGAGAAAAACAAAGAATTTGCCTATCACGAAAGGCTTCCTATCACCGCAGTCTACCACTAACACACGTTCGTAACAACTGCTTGCTAGTCCCCCTCCCCCTCTTTTTTCTTCTATTATGTTCCATTATATGAGTTTTTTTTGTGGTTTATACGTGATGGCAGTTTGCACCCGTGCTTGGGGTAATGCCATATTGATTATGAATTTATACTTCACGAGCTACCTTGTTAAGTATTTTCCTAAAATGTTGATTCACTGACTCAAATTCTCGGGACCCAACAATTTTACTTCAGCATCGACTCACTGCACCCTAAATGATGCACCTAACAGTTGAACCGGCACAAAATAAAGATTGCAATTGAACCACAGCAACGTACTACTTCTATAGTCACAAATTACCTCGTAGCTGTTAGTAGCTTTATCAAACCAAAAGAACAAACACTCTTACGACACCCAATTCAATCATACATAATTGTCTTAATATTTGGGCAGACGCTTTGTATTTGTAACTAACGCTGCATGCCACACACATGCCCTTGCCTCTGTCTCTGGAAACTATTTTCCCCACTTCTGGGTTGGTGGATTGGTACCCGACTTGCCCTGACACACTGACATTCATAACGCAGATGAAATCGCAATAAAATGTCAATACGCCTCCGAATGGAAGAAAAACGAAGGACGCATACTGATGCGGAAGTGATTAACACTGAATGCTCTGCTCTTTTGATGATTACAATTTGGTTTTACTCTGCTACTCTACACATGATGACATAACCGATGCAGACTGAAAACTGGAGAGGAGTGAACACCGACTGAGTTGCTGCTTCAATTTCGGACAAAATTCTTCATTCATAAATACCGACATAGGATTTTCTACAAACAAAATATCGCGGTACAAAGTGAACCAAAATAGATTGTTAGGCCGTTCTGTACAGTCCGTTAACATTTTCATGAGGAAGAATAGCATGGATAATCAAAGAAAAATCGAGATGCAAACGAAGTACCGGTGTTGTAAGCATGGAAAGGAGTTCAACATGAACCACCGAGTTGCTCCTGATAGACCTGCAAAAGACGTATCTGAGTGAATATTTGAAGAATTCTAAAACAAAATCATCGTTCGAATCATAAAGCTGTCAATGAACACCGTTCATGATTAGAATACCTCGATCACGTCATCTTCCTCCATCTCCAGAGTTTTGGGAGTATCGTCGTCGTTAATACGGCGTCCATCGAAAAGAAAACTAGAAAAAATAAAATTACCAGTGAATAACCAAGAAAGAATCCTACATAGGCCAGCAATCATACTACTCTGGCCATGATTGAAGAAGCTATTCTTAGGTCATACACTTTCAGCTTTGCCAAACCAAAGATAGGAAGTACAGCTGGTATAAAGCACCACTGGGCCAAATCCCAACTTCGGGCAAGCTGCATTGTCATTCCTGGAGAGCAATCCATCTTCATGGCAATAGTACTGATTTCCGAAATGAAAAAAGGAAACGAAATCTGCGAGTAAGAGGTTTCGAAAACTTCGTGCTTGACGGAAATTTTGAAGACTGAAAAAGGTTGAAGATACAACCATCATAAGAGGCGCCAACGATGAGCGGTACTATGACAAGCCTTTTCAGGATGGGTGGGTCATGTACACCTCAAAATTTGTTTGATGAAATGCCTATCCTATGTCCGCTCACTTCTTTAGACCCCTTCACTTCTTTGACAAAGGCTATCCGCAAGCTGGGAAAAAACATTGGGAAAGAAGCCTCAAGAGTGGGAGCGCTTCTGCTCACTTTTTTGCTAGGCTCGGGTTTCCTTTAGAATCCACGACATAACATCATTCTGGGAACGATTCTGAATGATGTATTTAGCTTACTGGGGCCGTATCCTATTCTTCCTCCAGACTAGGGGAACAAAACATCCTTCAAATCCATTTGTTTTCATCGACATTGTTCCCTTACATTTTGCACTTGTTTGCTTTTACACCCATGTTACGGATATGCGAATTCTCAGGACGATTTTTTGCTGGAAAAACAGAGAAGATTCAAAGAGACTTTTTGTTGCCCTAGCCTAGGGAATAGGAAGGATGGGATACGGCCCCTGATGAAACAAGAAATTGTTTCTGAATGGATTGGAATTTTACTGAAAATTAGTGCGTGAAATATCAGCTCCTGAGAGCATAACAGATCTGTACGATGCCGTGAAAAAGATATCGAATCGCTCCCTCCCAGAATGGTGCCTCACACGAAAACGAGAAAATACGAACGAACCTTTCCCTCTGTTACAGCTAGATGACTTTCGGCTATACTAATTTGAAGCACACTTGTAATCAAGGAATTCCCATAACAGCGAAGTCAAGGGCCGTATGCTGAATGTTGGGTAGGGGATGGGGTCCCCGACCCGCGATGCTGAATGTTGGGGCTCCCAGCAGAGTTTCGTCGCGGGACCGGGCGGCCACTGACCGGTCCTTTGATTTTACGATTACATTTTCATCTTTTCACAGTATTATACTGTAGGCTGGGCAGGCTACTGGATGAATGGAATACAGCAATAATTCCGCAAACTAGGGTCGCGTTCATAGTTCCTGACTACGGGAGATTAGGATAGTAGGCGACAGGATATTAGGATAGTAGTAGAGTAGGAGATTGCGCTGACAAGATTGGATACGTATCGATTGAAATCGCTGGAGAGTAGTAGATTTGTACACGCATATACTGCTATATAGTTGTAATTGCCGTAATCGTGCCAGTCTGTCCATTCACTACTTTAGACTGAAGTTTGGTTCGCGTTTCTATTACTTCGTGCCATATTGGTGTATTACTTCAATATGGCAATGTGTGCGTGGACGAATCTGTAATCTAGAACAGTGAAAAGACAAAATACTTCATCACAGAATTGAAAGGACTGGCCAACCACCTGTGGGCTGTGACGAAACCTTGCAGGGCATCGCAGCAGCACGCAGCATCGTAGATCGGGTACCCCGGTTTACGGACTACTTGATTTTTCCTCAATGGTCCTGCCGCGATGGCTAGAGCACAGACGATTAGAGAACGGGTGAATGCCCTAGGACTAAGCCTTGGAGAGGAGAGGGACCCGCGAGAGAGCGCAGAGGCGGTTTAAAGGGCTGAGTTCAAGTAGTCCGTCGACCCTTGCTGGAAGCGATTCCTACTGATCATTTCGGCGCTATTCAAATATAACAAAAGCTCAGTTTTGTTTCCCTCGAAAACTTGCCTATAGAAGCAACCTAATTCCCTATAACAAGTGACATTCATTTTCCGCGATAGCACCATTAAGTGCAATTTCGCGCCAATTTGGTGCGACGCCTTCCCACCAAATTCGGAGTAAATTTGGGCATAATAATCATCCAGTGCTCTGATCACGAATGAGACATTCATGTTTGGTGCCAACGCGTTTTGCATCCGAACATAGCATTGCACCAACAAAAAAAAACGTTTGCAGTAGAAATGTGTCATGTTCGTGAACAGAAATGGCTCTAGAAATAACTTCCAACATGAATTATTCTCTTGGATTCTTCATGAGATTCCAGGGTGTTGATTCCAGTGTTTGTCATTTCTGCTACTGATTTCCGTGAAAAATTTGAAAAAAAATTACCGCAATGAAGAGACGGCAACCCCGGTGCGATCTGCGTAGGATTTCTTCAACTTGCCCATGGCAGTCCCATTTTTTACACGGAAGTGGACCTCATTTGAATCCTAAACAGAAATACCATAAGAATGAAACAAGCTTATGAACAATGTGGAAAAAAACCTCGGGGATAAAAGCAGAAAACCCAGCCAGCTAACTCACCTGTCCGACAACTTTCAGTTTAATGTACTCTACTCCAGCATCTCCACCAGCTGGTGCTTCGCTGCCATTGTCTGCCATTCTTTCTGAATGAAAGAACAATTAATACTGTCGCAAGTATGCAAGGACGAAATAGATGTGAGTGGATGGAAATGCCAATCAAAACAACGCAAAGCCAAGGGGAAATCACAGTGAATCGAAAACAATGTAATAAAAAGAGAACGAAGTCGAAACCAAGTTGGAACAAGCCCAGCTATTCTCGAAGAGGAATACGCAACACAACCGCAGAAGGGTGCTCGACCGCCACTATTGATCGAAATGCGAACGCTGGGTTTCGCGCCCTGCGTGGCATGAGGGTCCGCCCACTTCGTGGACGCCCGTTGAGCACACTCGCCTAAGTAGTAGAGGGTCACTAAGAACACTCGCCTAAGTGGTAGAGGGTCACTAAGAAGCCACAACATGCCACAGGAATTTTGGGCCCTGGCCAATCGATAGTGGGCGTGGCGCAACGTATGATGACGTGTCTGGCTGGTCGCGCGGCAGTCGCCGATCGATAGTGGGCGTGGTCAGTTGCGTCATCGCTTGCGTGATTGGCCCATGTTGGTGACGTCACGTATTCGTTCGCGCTGCAATGAATGTTATGAGAATCGATCGAGATTGCGAAATCTGTTTTTGCTATTTGCGAAGTTGTGGGACTTCTTTGGAAAAAGGAGCATAGCTGGTGCATAGACTATAGACCACCAATAGCAAGTAGTCGCAGAAACTCATATCTGACATAGCATAACAAAGGTGCCGGTTCTAAGTGAGTTGGGGGGACCACGCGGCGGCGCGGTGCTCTGTTTGTCTGCTCGGCGCTATACAAGTGGGGTGGGCACGCCCAGCTTTTCACGCATGTCAAGTGACTGCCCTCACCCCCACCCCCCTAGATTGGCTACACTCCCCCTGGCTCACGAATTCCCCGATTCTCGTGACAGTATAGTAGCGGGCAGCAGTCCCACTTACATACATTTCTGTTCAAAAATGCGGCGTGCCCACCCTACTTGTATAGCACCGTCTGCTCCTCCAAGGCTTAATCCTCGATGGCGCGTATTTCGAAACTGCCACGTGGTGACGAAATAGTAACTGCCCCTTGGACTAAGCCTTGGAGGAGCAGACGAACAGAGCGCCGCGCCGCTGCGTGCCCCCCCCCCCCAACCCACTTTGCGCCAAAGTGCCTACCCAGCGCAAAAACATGGACAAGCGCTTTCCAAGGGGAATGTGTTTTTCGCATTTTTACAGAGGCAGCATGATTTCAGTGCTGCTCACTTTAAGTTTGTATCGGGATCTGTGAGGCAGTAAGTAATTGTTGAGTAAGTATTACTAGAAGAACCACCTGGAGAGGCCAGATCAAATTTGGGATACGTGGACCACTGCACCGCGTTGTGAGGCTAATCCGTAAGACCAAACCAGTGCAATGGCAAGTGGCGTCGCGCGCATAAGATATCAAGTACTAGATCATCACCCTCCGCGCCAAGAATCCTTTCATCGCACCAAAGTCGATTAATTAATACCAAGCTGGTTTACGAGGACTGAAGCACTGACGCCAGATCGGTTGGACCTCGTTAGACCAGATTCAAAATGCCGTGACGATTCTGTAGAGTGCGTGGCGCATCTCAGAGAGGCACTGATCGACGCCTTCATGCTTTTACCGGTGCTCTATTTGCGTAGTCCTCAACCTAAGTTATTCGTAACCCATTCAAAATATGAAACCACAGGGTAAGACTCGCTTACGTTTTCGTTGGGAATGCGCCAGACAGACGGTTTCCTTTCAAAATGGTACAAACATATGGATGAATGGAATACCGCAATAATTCCGCACACTAGGGTCGCGTTCATAGTTCCTGACTACGGAGATCAGGATAGTAGGCAGCATGATATTAGGATGGTAGTAGAGTAGGGGATTGCGCTGACAAGATTGGATACGTATCGATTAAAATCGCTGGAGAGCAGTAGATTAAACCGACGTCATAGTCGGCGACGGACAAGC